CTTTTTTTTCAAATAGAAGAGCGTTTTCCGGTTTCATTATATTTTCGGTCCTGTTTTTTCTTCAGTTTAGTTTGAAGTCTCTTCATTTGTGTTATTTACTGTGCCATGTTATACAACTTACACACATTTTTTTGCGCCCGTAGCTGCTTGACTTTTACCTCATAATCAACCACTGGTTAAACTGTTAATAGTTTGTACCACCCAAACTTAACTGAGCAGAATGCAAAGCAGTGTCTTCCCGAAGTTCTAGATGCTATTAGGATTTGGGTCCCGCTGAGCTTTAATGCAGCCGCAGTTCGTTGACACTCCCATACCACGATAATGTTCCTGCGTCGGAATTTTGTCAAGTATATATGTATATGTACATATATGCATCTATATAAACATATATATATATATATATTTTGGGACCAACATGAATGTTGAATAATTGGCCAAAACACGTGGTGCCCGTGCGAAGATGCGTTTTTTGCATGGTTCTCCGCAGTTTTTGTTGTTACCGGCACCGGTTTTTCCGGCAAATGCGTCTAACTAAACAGATTAAGACTGGCCACCAGAACTGTCAGGAAACACCCCCTTAAAATTTCAGCTTTCTAGCTTTCCTGGCTCCTAAGTTACCAACTTACTCGAAAGTACTCGAAAGCAAGTTGGTAACTCAGGAGCCAGGAAAGCTAAAAAGCTGATATTTTAAGGGGATGTTTCCTTCTTCCTTTCGTAACAGTATGGCAAGTTTTGAATATGCAGTACTAGCTCTAGTAGGTGTTTGAGGCACTCATATAAATAAGATTCTACATTGCTTTCTCGAAAAAAAAAACAGTTTATTTATGTTGCGGAAGTTATACGGTATATTGAAACGTCGTTTCCGAAAAGTGCTGATATCAAAAAAGCCAAGTTTTGCTGATTTTTGCAGTGAGTATTACATCGACACGGATGAGTACGTTGTGTTTGAAGACTTGGTGCGTCGTATCAGTGGAGAAGTGATTAATCACAATATTGTTATGGTTGATTTTGATATCGCAAAGCTGGCGTTGGAGAGAGGTGTAAGGCCAGTAGTGGCTATTGATAATGCGATAAGAAGAATGATCTCACATGCTTCATTGAATTCGTTGATTGTTGTTATCTTCAGCTCTCCGGAAAATTCCATTGGCTATGCTAAAATCAAAAATGCAAATAGACGAAATCCGCTTTTTTGAGTTTTTCATTCCTCCTTGGTATATCGCTGCTTTTTGTAAAGCCGGAAATCCAAATAATCACAATTGACGTTCGAAAGTTGTATTTTTCTACGTTGTTATAAGTTGTTGCAGTTGATTTATTTGTTCGCAATAAAGCATATATGAAATATGATTTGATATTGTTGTGGTTACAGAAAACCATTGTTTTTGAGGACTTTATTTTGTGGCAGTTCTCCGGCACATAGAATATTTCTAAAGCCTTGAGTTACAAAAATATCTTACGAGCGAGACATTTTGGAACTCTTGGGAAATGTTGGTGGCAAAATTAAGCCGTAGCCTGCTGTTTTTTGAGTGCTTGCTGTACCTGCTTTAACAGTTTAGTCAGCTGCCGTTTCGCTTTGCGCCATCGAAGTACCTGCCGATTTTTCTATTGTTTCTGTGACAGAGATCAGTTAAGCTGATGGTCGGATTACTGTTGGTTGCCTTGGAAGTTTCCCACTTCTTTATTCGTTATTTCGAAAGAGCGAGAGTGTTGATTTTGCGCGTCTCCATGCGCCGTAGTAGATTTGTGGGGATGTCAGAAACTTAGCAGGTCTTCAGTTTTTCAAAAATTTTTACACAGTTAAAGGTCTTCCAGTAATTCGTGGTTTTCCAGACGTCGTCGAAGGATAGACTTCTGCACATAGC